TGCTATTGTTTTCCTTCCTCTTTGTATTTTTTATTCTCTTTTTGTTTATTATTTGTTTTGTGTTGTTTCGGTTTTATTCTTTGTCGCCTTTTGTTTTCCTGAACTTTAATTTGAGTTTATCTTTTACTGATTCAACTTAATGTTTTTTGTCTTTTCTGTCTTTTAATGTGATTTCGTTAGATTTGAGTCGTTTTGACATTATATATCAATATTTGTGGCAATCTGCTCACAGCTGGACGCCATGTATCAAATAAAAACAGCTCGAGCTTGATTTTAAGATAGGTTATGGTTCTCAATGGCTGGGAATGCGAGTTTATGTTAATTTAAAAGCTGTGGAACTTTTTCCAAATCGTATGCAATGCTCAGAAAAAATACGTCGATCATTGTTGATATCATAACAACATTTAAGTTTATTCTAATTTCATCAACTCTCAACAATTGGTAGAACTTCCAACTGCGCAGCGAATTTCGAGCTAAAAATCGATAATATAGGACTTTCATGTTTTAATTTTGATTACAAAAACTCATTTCCAATATCAGATACACATTTGAATTATAAGCTGGTTCACAACACACAAATCAATAACATTCGCTTGACTCTGGCCCTTAAGAACTTTCATTAAATCCACACCAAATACTCCAAACACACACAGACATACGCACGCACACATGAGCACTCCCACTCGATCGGAGACCTCCGCCTCCATAGCCCATAACCATAAGCATAAAGCGCCCCAAAATCAATCTAAGATGATAACATCTAACAATTAGAAGGCCTTCAGGTCTTTGGCCTAATGCTTTATTTTGCCATATTTACGATGATGCATTTTAAGTGCACAGATGTTGATATCGATAGCGGACGCGACGCCCATTCTAAAAACCCAACACAAATTTTTAACAGAAAAAAAATCATAAATTAAAGACTCAGACAGACTCAGAAAAATAACAAAAAATTCCACAGTGTGACTAATAACTTAATTAGAAATCAACAAGACGAGTAAAAACAAGTAAGAAAATTCTAGTCGAGAGTGCTCGACTAGATACTACCCTGAACCCAACAAATAAAAATGCTCATTTAGTATGGCTGAAATTTCAATTTCAATGTATTTAAAAATATAAATAAAATACCAAACTCATTTAATAAAATATAAAAATATTTTGAAACAATTAAAAAAAATTAACATCAGTTGCATCGATCGGGATTCGAACCGCGACTCCTCGATCGAGCGTCACGCTGCTAACACACTAGGCCACCTCACTCCTGCTAGTGGCGCTGGCAAAACTCAAATAGATTCACTGCTGCAGCGCCATCTACCAAAACTAAACGAAACTAACTGCTGATGTGATTCTAAGAATCTGCTAGAATAACCAAACTATTAAAAACGCACATAAAGTATAGTTAAAATTTCAATTTCGGTGTATTTAAAAATATAAATTAAATAGAAAACGCATTTATGAAAATATAAAAATATTTTGAAACAATTAAAAAAAATTAACATCAGTGTTGCACCGATCGGGATTCGAACCGCGACTTCTTGATCGAGCGTCATGCAGCTAACACACTAGGCCACCCCACTCCTGCTGGTGGCGCTGGCAAAACTCAAATAGATTCACTGCTGCTGCGCCATCTACCAAAACTAAACGAAACTAACAGCTGATGTGATNGACGGACAGACGGACAGACGGACAGACAGACAGACGGACAGGGCCAAATCGACTCAGCTCGTCGCCCTGATCAAGAATATATATACTTTGTGGGGACTGCCACGCCTCCTTCTGCCTGTTACATACATTTCAACAAAACCATTATACCCTGATTTCCCATTTTCAATGGGTTCAGGGTATAAAAACAACAACCAACCAACAAACACAAAAACAACTTGAAAAGTTAATAAGTTCCGACTCGATCGAGGCTTTTTATTGAGTGAAAAACAAACCGATCCGAACCGAAAAATCTTTCAAATATCTACAATCAATGGCCATAAAAATTCCAATGCATTTTATGTGACTCTCTCGGCTCTTGAAGCCAAAAAGATCTACGTTTTATTTCCGTAGCATCGTGATGTATTAAAAATAAACATTTCATTTAGTCAGAGGCGTTTCCATTAGATTATTCCAATTCAATGATTATTTTCGTATCCCAATTGAAGTAGAAAGAGAATGAAAATGTTTGCTAATCAAAAGTACAGCCAGATGAACATTTCTCAAGATTTAAATAACTTGAAAAGCATAATTTTTGTAATATCAGTTCGTATACGTAATTCAAAAAGTTGAAAGTGATTACAATAGTAATATGAAAATAAATTCTAATGAAATCTTGTAGAAAACCAAAGTTAAGACAAAAAGAGAATCACTCTTCATACAATATATACAAATAGGAAAATAAAAATATTTTAATCAGCTTGAATAGGTAGGTCAACTAATAGATATTGATTTGTATTAGTTGTATTAGTAATTACTGAAATGAAAATTAATATTTTTTTCTAAATGATCCAATATTTATTCGCACAAAGATGATTCTAGATGCTGTCATATATTATTTTAGTCATTTAGTTAGTATGGTAATTATTTTTGTTTTGTGGCTTTCAGCACCTGCCAAATGTCTTTTATGTTCTCAAAAACCTGCTCTATGCAAAGTCTCTCTTTTGTAGAGATTCCTTTAGCTGTCATGATAACTAGCACAATTACTCATCGGCACACACTCCATTCGAATGCATCCATTGAAGACTCACTGAGAGCCCACTGGAAATGCCAAAGATAAACAATGCAAAGTTGACTTGATGCTGGCTAAAGGCAACCAGCTCCGACTCCAGCCCCAACTCCAGCTTCAGCTTCAACTTTAGCTTCAAGCAAAATAAACATGCGGCAAGTGGAACGATTGGTGCTAGCTGGTGGTGCAGTGGCATGCACTCACAAGTGCAAACTTCAGAGTATTCCCATCTCTTCTTCTTCTCTTACTCTCTCTCTCTCTCTCTCTGTTCTCCATTGTCGTATGTGTTACTAAACTAATGAAATCAATAAGTTATGCGAATGCGCCATGAATAACAACAACAACAGCAACAAAAGGCCGGAGCATCGAGTTGCCTAGAAGGAGTCATCCACTGGTTGGCCCCAAACGCAGGCCAAGTGCCCGCTGCTGGATGGGCCAAAAGGTGTGAAGCACAAAAGTCACTCAAGCGCGCTGGCCGTGGGCCCTGTCGGACTTATGAAATATGAGAGCCCACAATAACAGCAGCCCCCTCCCCCCATTCCACACTCATACTCTGCAATCGTCTCCCTGTCCCCCGCCTTTTACCTGCCAGCGCTCGTCTTTGCCTGGAATTTCTGTGCATAAATTTAATTACTGACAGACGCAGACGCTGTCGCCGTCGCCTTCGCCGTCGCCGTCGCCGTCGCCGTCGCAATCGTCGTCGCTGTCGCTGTCGCAGGCACTGTTGCAGTCAACGTTTCTGTTGAAGCTGAAGCTGAACCCAGTCACCTATCAATCTAACTCGAGTGGCTTTTCCCTGCTCCATTCTGCCTTTCTTTGGTTGCGCTCAAGTGCTTTACTTATTAGTGACTTTTGTGCCTGCTCGCAAGTTCAATAGCCCTGCGCCTCCACGACGATGACAACAGCGGGGCGTGGCCAAAGATACATTGTTAGTTTAGTTTAGTGGAGAAGGAGAAAATGAGATAGCGAGACAGCTCAAGAGAGAAGGAGAAAGATAGTGAAACAGAGAGAGAAGAGAGAGAGGAAGAGAGAGAGAGAGAGAGAGCGATGCAGGGCGTATGTACTTGAGTTTAGGTTTAATGCATTTCCCCCATTTTCTATTCCGGCGATAATAATCATTAGCTGCTTCTGGTGCTGCTGCTGCTACAACGGCCAGTCTTTTAAAATTAGAACGCAGCACACCTTGAAGCGCCTTTCGGTTTGTTAACTGTTAGGCAAATATCAAACATGGCGGGGTTGGCGCAGTTGCACCTATGCTGGCCATCTTGGCACAGTGGGCCAGGTTGTTGACTGCTTAAGTCAGCGAAAAGCCAACATTTCGGATGGTCTAAATGGGATAACTGCGCCGCCTGCGTTCTTTAATAGAGCTCGAATCCGGTCAGTTGTTAAAGAAAATTTTTCGGTTTATGCAATATTGATAAATACCTCATCGGAAAGGTAATTTTTCGATCTACAATTTAGCATTTTTACTTTTTCAATTTCAACTCATACTAACTCATATTAATCAGTCCTTCTCCTATTAGTATCTAGGGTCAATTAATGTCGAGTCGGCCCCTATTGATGGTGCCACACTAGCCATAGTAGTCGATACTCCCAGACTGCTATTTCTATAGATCATATAATTTTTGAGTGCAGCATGTTCACACTCAATTAATATCATCCAATACTATGCATGAACCGATATATCGATAAGTTTCCTATTCGAATAATACTATCATCTCCGACAAATACAGTTGTTTCATATTTGCCACTATCGATGTACAATCGATAGTTTTTTAGATAGTTTATCCCCTATACTGTGCACCGTTCACAATTAAAAAAGTGCTCTGCGCCTTAGATTTTATTTTCACAATTAGACTGCTAGATTCGGTTCTACTTAATACATACATTGTTATAATTACCCATTCCCAATAAACTCTCATTCAAAATAGTAAATTAATAAGATATAAAGCCGTATACAAGCCAATAGCAATTTATGTTACCTTGAATAATTTATCCACTGTGCAAGGAATGTGGGACACGTGCCAACGTATGTAGATGTTGAATAAAAAAAATCGACGTACTCATAGCAAATACTGATATTACCTTCCGATTACATATTTAAATCTGCGCTGTCCCCCCGGACCAAAGTGATCTCGGCTCGCTTTGACACGCTTAATCACGAAGCATCCGTGTTTGCTTTTAATTAAAATTGTTTTTCCCAGCCAAATATTTGCATCAATTAATAGACTCGCTGACGCGAGCACWTGCAATGCCTCTAATGTGGTTTCTCTTCTTCTTCTCTTTACAGAAAATATAACGATAGTCGGCCTCACGGACTATGTGAACAACGAATTCAAAATAGCACTGTTCGCAAAAGAAACGCAAAGATATTTGTGTTTCAACGACAACTGGAGATTAGTTGGCATGGTAAGTTACCTTGAGAGCATTTGACAGTTGGTGGCTGCACAGTTAAACTTATTTACTAAGCAATTCAAGTCGAGCGATCGGTGATCAAATTGTGAATGATTTCAGGTCTAAGACACTAAACTATTTATTAATCTTAAATGATTACCAGCATAGGGATTAGAATTATAAAGTTRAGTTAATTGAGGTTAATTTTCAAGCGCAGCCAACTTAATGGTGCCACAAACAAAATTTCTCAAATAAATTTTCTTTTGAACTTTTACCTCTAGAAATGTATCTGTATATGATTTTTTTTTATTAAGTAAATATAAATTATGTTTAATTCATATTTATTATATTTAATTTTCAAATAGACGCCTACTTTGATTGATAAATTATAGCGGACGACAAGTAAATTAAAAGAATTATCTATAAGACATATAATAATTATAAAATATTGCATCACCACGTTTGAGAAAACGATAAAGATCCCTCAAATACCCCCCAACATATTCGGGTCAGTGGAACAACAGATAATAAAAACTACGAATTTTGAAAATAACTCAATCTACACAAAGCTCTTGGGATTCCCTGCTTTGATGATGATAATATAAATTCAAATGAGTTGACACTATTTCATTAGCTTTCGGTTTATGGCTTCCTAGGCGATAAAAACAAAAGCGAACAAAAATTGTTAAATCTGAACTGCATTCCCACTTCCTAGCAATTGCATCTTTATGGCAGCACACAATATAATGATATGTACTTAGAGCCAAGGCCCCGAACGGGCGCCTTGTAACAAATTTGATTACATTGCAGTGCATTTTCATTGGATTGGATTGGATTGCATTGTACTTGAAACACCGCCGCCGCCGCTTTATGCAAACTAACTGTRCAAACACTATAATTTATGGCATGTAGCACATAATGCTTTTTATGCAAACGAGCGATTATAGCGACAATGGCGATACTTGAACGATTTGGCCAAATTGCATAAATTGCCAGCTCGGCGACAGGGCGCTAAGCGCCGCCTCACACGCTGCTAAGACTAAATAATTCTCTCTCTTTTCGCTTTTTTCAAATGCCGTAGATTATACCCTGTATAAGTTGAAAAGTTGCTTTACAGTTGATTTCTTCTTCAATTTAATCATTCAGATCAGATTACATACATATATCACATGTGTAATTAATATATAGTGTACATATGTATGAAGATTCAGATATTGGTACTAATTGTAATTTTAATGCTGTAGTAGTTACTACTGATCCAAGGTTATCATACTTTAATGATAAAAAAAAGACAAGAGTAAAAAAAAAACAAGCTAAAACTAGATAAAACTACACAACCTAACTGCTCCATTAAATTTAGTTAGGATATTAAACAAAAACTATTTTTTACCAACTGTCACTCTTTAGCTTGCCCCTATTACAGGGCATCTGCCAGTCAGGCACAAATTCTGGCAAATCCATTGCTGGAGTGTTATTATTTATTTTTACTAGTATTTTTTTTCTTCGAAAACCCGTTGCAGTTGAACCAATTCTGTCATGCAAAATGCGCGACAACAACAAAAAACAACTGTTTATTAAAATATTGAAATTTCATATGCAATTACAGACACAAAAACATAAATATAATAACTGCTCAGAGACAACAAATCGATAGCAGAATGAAAACAACAAAACTGGCTCACGATATGTTAATTTTTGTTTTTCTCAGTGGCTTACGCGGCGTATGCGTAATGTTTACATAAAACCGATTAATTTAGAACTGCTTCCCTGCGTAACGCCCAATTGCAACTGCTCTGGGAGTCCACCTATGATGCGAATTTCTCGAGACATTGTAACAGTTATCGGGCTAAATAGATTATTGCCAATGTCAATCGTGCGGCCAAGCACTCCAAAGAGTCGAGTGCACTGCATAGATTCGTCATCATAAAAATCATTCAGCGTTTGTCGTCAGATTTTTCAAATGGCTGTACATGACTTTTATTAGATATATCTAATCTATCAATCTAATGACGAGGCATTTTATGCTGTAATTGCAAAAATATTTCAATGTCCTTTCAAAGCTCGCATTACGATTTGTACAGTTAGCTGGAAAAAGCAAACAACGGCAACATTGAGTGCAATTACATATATGACTAGTGTGATCGACTATTGTTAATATATCTGTAAGGTCAAAGCTGACACTTGTTATTTTATTGCTTTCGATTATGGCCGCAAATCCCAACTTGAATTTATGTGCAAATACTCGTACTGTGATTTTTCGCTCCCCCACCTTCTTTATAGACTCTTATAAAAAGTTTATTTACAGTTTTGCCATTGAAGGTTAATAACTCTGACTATATGATTAGGTTAAGGTTGCGAAATGTTTGATAAATTTACACCTTGGAAGTAGACCCAATATACCAAAGATTGGGTGTTACTCAGTAAGTTAATTGTTGATTCGTATCGCATAATATCAACAATTAATATTGAGTAATTAAGTAACTATTCATAGATAAAATAAAATAATTATTGAAAATTCCTTTCACCAGGAAACACTCTTATATTTTTCATCAAATTTCAATAAACTAAATTTAAGTTTAAAAACCATAACTTTTATAGAATCATAAAATATATTTAAAATATATTTAGTACAGACTATTCAACTTCGATATACCCTAAACCATATACATGTCTTATAATGCATGCTGTTATACATGTTATGTTATGCCTACTTTGTTATTCATGTTATATTATGCATGTTCTGATCAGGAATATATATAGCTTACAGGGCCATGAATCCTTCTGGTTGTTACATACACTTTATGCAAACCAATATACCCCGACTTCCCATTGTCATTGTGTTCATGGTATAACGAGTTACTTTACCTTACTTCAAAACGTAGACACTCTACTGTGCGCTATAAAATATTTGAATAATTAGAAATGACTTAGATCACTTTAGCTGGAGCCAACGCAGAATTGAACAAAACGTGAGGCAAGTAGCTTCAATTGACAGCGAAAACAATCCGTGATTGGTTACTGAGGGGCCACAGCTGTGAGTTCGTTTGAGTGGCCCCTGAGAAGCTGTTCAAAAATAGCAATTAAAAGGCTATAAATACCGTGAAGTAGTACCGATAGCTAGATAGGTCGGCAGACGTAAAGTGGAACGACTAAATATGGCATAATTGCTAAGCGAGTTGAACAAATTCTTATCTGCGTCATCTGCAACACTTTGAATAGAATAACAATCGAAATGGCAGATTGGGAAGTCAGATAGGTGCTGCCAGCAGCAGTAGCAGCAGCAGCAGCCACAGCAATAATATCAGCAACAGCAGCCGTGACAGAAACTACAGCAACAACAACGACAACAGCAATAATCAAGCCGCGTTTCATTTCGTTGGTCGTTTTGGAATTTCAAGTGTTTTATAAATAAACACACTCCAGCTTCACTGTTGTTGCTGCTGTCAGTGTTGCTGCTGCTTAACCTCTCACTTGCAAACGCTTGTCAAAATATTTTCGACAGGTTAACAACAAATACAGCCAGGAAATGCCGCTTGTAAATTGCAGTGTCAAGTGCAGGGAACTTGCCCTGCCTAATGTCCCGCTCAAACACTCTCTCACTTTCTCTCACTCTCTCTCTCTCGCTCTCTTGCAGAAGGAACTGCGCGATACCTGCTACTTCAACGAGACCATCGTGCACGGTTATTTCGTGTTCCGTTCGGTAGTCGATCTACAGCGCCGTGTCGGCTTCACACACCGAGGTAAGCCCGTGGGGCCGAAGAAGAGCGTCAACGATGCCTGCTACATGTTCAATAAGATCGATGCCGAGCAGTTTTTCCATCAGCACACGTTACCAAAATGGCGCGAGACGGCAGCAACGATGGCCAACGGCAGCAGCGGCAGTCACAGCGGCAACTATCGCAAAGTCTCGCGCAACAAAAACAATCGCCACAAATCGAATAACCAAAATCAAAAGTTGCAGCAACAGCAACATGCGCATCATGGCCATAATAGTAGTAATAGTCTAAGTAGCACTAACAAAACACAACAACAACAATTAGCATTAGTAAGTAAACAGCAACAACAACAGATGCAGCAGCAACAACGTGAACAGCATCAGGTGCGACATCATCACAATGATCCCTCAGTGCTGGCGCGTCGAAAACAGCGACGCAAACAGCAGCAGCAGCAGCAGCAGCGGCAGGAGCAACAACAGCAACAACGAGTCACAGCTAGTCCAACGAAACTAACGACTGCCAAAAGTGCAAAATCGACCACATCAACAGCAGCAACAACAACAGAAGCAACAGCCAAAACGACGAAAATATCACTTGCCAGCAAGCGCAAGGGCAGACGAAGAAAGGCACGAAAGCAAAAGCAGCAACAGCAACAGCAACTGCAACAGCAAGAGCTGCAACAATTGCAGCTACTCTCTACCGCAGCAACACTTGATAGCAGCATTGACGATATGCTTTCCAGCAGCAGCAGCAGCAGCTTTTCCACAGGCTATGACGATGCCTACAGCAGCAGCAGCAGCAGTGAGCCTTGGACTACTTGGTATGCCACGCCCACAGCTACAATTGATAGCTTTACACCAGATGTGGGCAGAAGCAGCACCACCACAAGCGCCAGCAACATGTTGCTGACAACAACAGCAGAAGATAGTATTAAACCATATAGCAGGATCTACGATGACGGGTCGACATTCATCACAGAGCTGGAAAATGAAGCATCAGGAGCAACAACAGTATCTGCAGCAACATCAAGCAGCGGCAACGATACCGACCTGCTGCAGTACGAGGCGGAGGTGGTTGAAGATGACGAAATTGAACAACATACCACGGCTAACTATGAAACCAAAGCAACAGCAACAGCAACAACAAGAGCAACATCCGCAGGAACAACAACTGCAACAACTATACCAACAACTAGCAGCCGAGTGGCTAAAACTACCTCGACAACAACAGCAGCAGCAACAACAATAACAACAACAACAACAGCAGCAACATCAGCAGTAACTGGCGCACAATTGGTGCTGGAGCAAACGCCGCTGGCAGCAACACTAGCTACACTTATGTACAACAAATGGCATACAACGCAGCAGCATGTGGTAGACGCTGTTCCGGCCAACACGACAGCAACAGCAGCATCAGAAGTAACAACAGCAACAACATCAACCACAAGCGGAACAACAGCAGCGGCAACAAGGTCTGGTTTGGCGATGAGCACACATAAGCTCAGCAGGCATCGCGGTATCGGCAGCAGCGCGAGCCCCAGCGAGCAGCAGCAACAGTTGCTGCGGGACAGCAACGGTAAGCAGCAACAGCAACTGCAACTGCACAAACTGTTGCGACCGGCAACAATCGTGACCACGTCCAGCACGCAATTGCTAACACCACTCGCAACAGCAGCTGCTGCAGCACCGAAAACTGTAACAGCAGCGGCAGCAGCAGCTGCAGCAACCGTTGTTGTTGTTGCCACCCCACAGCAACATATAACAGACAAACTGTTTAGTGTTTACAAAAACATCAACAGTAGTCCAAATAACACGCTAACCGAAACAGCACCCACGCCAATAGCAACTGCAGAAGCAAGAGCAAGAGCGACAGCAACAATTGCTACGACAGCAACAACAATAACCACGAAAAAATCGCTCCGCAAATCGACACAAAAACTGCTGGCCACGCCCTACCATCAGCTAACCTATGTGCGCAACGAGGCGGGCGACATTGACATAGATAATCTGGACAATATTAGCGTATATCCCGATGTTTTCGAGGATATCTTAAACGATAACGACGACAGCAGCAGCAACAGCACTGCTACAAACAGCAACAGCAACAGTCGGCTGACCTTTGTCAGTGGCTTCCTGGCCACCTCGCCCACGTCCGTGCTGCCCGAGTCCATACGCATAGCCAAGATCAAGATTAACAACGAGCGACGCCGACTGCAGCAGCGCAGTCACCGGAGACTGCGCAGTTTTTCGTAGTACTTAGCGAGGAGCACAAGCAGCAGCAGCAGTAAATTGTGGGCTTTAGGGCAATGTAAATGGGCTGCACTGATGGCTGGGGCCTTGACAATCGGTTGGTAGACGTGACAAGTTGGCTTGATCAATTGATGAAAATATATATAAACATATATATATTGTCAAATGCAGAGTGTGGACTGTATATCAGTATATCGCCATATTCGTAAACTGTTTTCGACAAGTTTTAAAGGGCAAAGAATTTATGAAAGCAAATGAGAAAAATATTGTGAACATGATGAGTTCAAACAATTTAAAAAATT